TAGTTAATGATATTATCTATTTTTGTATTAAAAATATCCTCAGTCAACATTGATACGAAATAATAAATAGTCTAAGGAAATAATACAAAATACTGACATTTAGCCAAATATGATACTGAGTTAATCATGTTACAAACCATGATTGGTATCCAATCTACTAAAGTATTGCTGCTTTAAATAGACACTATCTATGCAGATGCCGAAAGAAGATTCATTCGCAAAAAAAGTAGATATTGGCTTACTAGCGGCAAAAAAATATTCTCCCTATCAAAAAAAAAAAAAAATATGTATTTTAATTATCGCTACCAAAGAAACAAAGAGACAGTTAACATGTGCCATCACACGTCACCAATTAGGAGTGCGGCTGCTGAAATGAATTCAATTTGATCGTAGTTCGCCGCGCGCGCTGCACCCGCTCCATAGATTACCACGCATGGAGTACTGAACTCGAGCTAAAATATTGAAACTGTCCTCGTAAAATTTAACGGGTTAAAACCTTTATTGAAGATACGAGTACAGTCAAGATAATGGGATATAAATGTTACTAGATACTACCTACCATATTGCTATCGGAATCTATGTAGGACTTTTATTTTTGGCTTTTTTAATTTAGTTTATGTGTAATGCATTTCTACAGACTATCACTACATGTGAGTTTTAACCTGATTAGGTAAAGGGATGAATACTCAGTTTGGTTAATGAACTAAACTAAATAAAAACTAAACTAAATAAACTACACTAAATCTAAATACTAAATAAACTAAACTAAATCAACTAAATGGTGATAGCAAGTTTAGTCTTATCAGCCAAGACTAATAACGTAATTAGCAAAAAATATTGAACTTCATTCCAACCTAACCCTTCAGGGAATGAAGAGCGCAATGTTGTGTTAAACAAACGTTTTATGCAAATAAGGGTTTATGAAAATTTCAATTACATCAGGAATGTAACATGGGCTTCGTAAGTTACGTTGACCCGGGCCATAATGGCAGATTATCTTTAAGGCTTGGCCAACCGCACCCACTTTACGACTGATGGGGAAATATCATGTGCAAGTTAATTCCCTTGAAGCCGGCAAAAATGTGATAAAATAATGTGATAAATGTGCTTATCGAGATCTAGAGGCGGTTTATATCCTTTTATGGTGACCTGATTACAAATTTTGTTGCTCCTTCTCGCTTTTATTGCGTTATTAGATGTGGTATCATAACATAGCTATTTTTCTACCCATAAAAACTTCTCCCTTGTGATTTTATTGCAATTAACGTTAATTTCATTTTAATCTAAGTACATCTAATAAAGTCATGGTGGCCCAGAGGTTTAAGACTCCCGCTTCTAATGCGTGTGGGTGCCGGTTTATATAATAAATACTATCTAAGATTATTTAGACACCACTGACAAGGTGCAGAAAAAAATCGTAAGGAAACTTGAGCTTATAATTGATAATTATAAGTTTAAAATCGCCAACCCACATTGAGCAAGCGTGGTGATTAATACTCAATGCTTCTCTGTGTGCGAAGAGGCCTTTGGTCAGTAGCTCGCTATAGGCTATTGATGTAGCATCCAATAAAATCAAACTCAAAAAGAGAATTGGGAAATCAGATGCCGATTAATAAAAACATTATTTAACCAGAAATAGCTTTACTCAGAAACATATTCCCCATACCCAGATAATATAAGTACAGAGATAAGAAAATTCAAAGCGCTCTTTAAACTGTAGGTACTGCTTAGTTCTAGCAACTAGTAAACATTCAGCAGTCGATCTTTAGTGTAAAAAATATTTTGAAATCAATTTATATTATAGGAATTAACACACTAGGTATCAACGAAAACTGATAACGCTGTTCCGATAACATACAATACATGTAAATAATAATTATAATAAGTCTTGAATAACATAATTATCGTTAGGAATGTTTATTTTAATCCATTCAGAATTATGAGCAAGAATGATCCTAAGATCTCTGAACTCATCCTCTTCACAAATCCATCTAAGTGCATTATTGAAGATCTGTTCAGAGATATGCTATATGCACCTAGGTATATCTTATAAGCCTTAACCTTGCCATTACAATGATGCCACAGATGACAGACATACATGATGATACCTACTAGATGCCATAAGCGACATTATCCGCAACTCAAAATTACCCATCAGTTGCTTGCGCACCAACAGTTGGGTGAACCTTATGGGTCTTTGTCAATACCACTAATTGCATAACTTTGAGCGTGACTGTACTGTGTGCTCAAACTTTAGAAACTAGCACTCAATGGCGTATGTACTCAATACTGCATATTCATAACCGCTCTAATCATGTGTTACTAATGATACAAATTCGTTTGACAGCCTTATTTTATCTTTAAGTAAGTATCTTTAAGTCTTTTTGTCTTCGAAGGGAACACAGCTATGTACTTCTATGGTTTTATTTCATTTTTCATTGTTCACAATTCTCAACATACCTACATCTTCGGTTTTGTTTAAATACTTGTCCTTTTTTTACATTAATTTAATCTTTACAGTTATTCAGTTATTCTCGAGAATAAATAACTAATCAAAATAGTGTGCAATTTTTCTTAGGTAATTCTTATCTGCAGGCCAGAAAGTCGTTATAAACATCTAGTCATTTGAAGAGGCAACAGGTCAATCAAAGCAAAAATATTTTTTAATAAATTATGACTAAAAAGACCGACTTCAATTTCCTTAGTTTTTTGAAGCTAGTTAATAGTAAATATATCAAATAATTAATAGGTACAACAAACAACATCAAATCTAGACAAATGAAAACATGCACTTACAGGGTAACCTGAGTCCCTTCTTTATTTTAAGTCACTCAAAAATGAGTACAATAGTAAACATGAAAACAATATATTTTTGCAAGCAAAACCTACAAATAGGCTTAGTTTAAACTCCAGTTATGCTTAAAGAAAATCCTAAACGGAAAATCCTATTTTGTCGGACTTGATTGAGGTCAATCCAAAGTGATATAGAGGTTGCGGATTTACCCATCGCCCACTACCGAGTAGAGATAAAAATTACGTAGGTCGAAGGCCTGGGGAAATATAAATATAGTTATCACAATATTGTAATGATAATGAGTATTCTCGAACACAAATTAATGTTCCATCAAAAATAAAGTTTGTATTTATACATACATTATGTATTACTCATAAGTCATTGGGGGAGGCCTATGTTCAGCAGTGGACGTCCTGTGGCTGATATGATGATGATAATGATGTATTATTTGTACAATGTTATAACATGTATTTATTGTTCTAAATATCAATTAAGCCTGGTATCGCTTTGAAAAGGGTTTAAATATACGTCAGTCGAAAAGAAATCATTATAATAAATAGTCAAAATATTTTCCAAACATCCCATATCTCATACTTATACAAAACAATATCGCAATTATATAGCTATTCAATTTACCACCTCATGACTTCAAAACATAACATTGATTTTTGACTACAGTTTCGAACTACTCAACTAGCTGCATGCAAATTCGTACTTGATAATTATTATTTTAACACGTGGCAACAATATGAATTAACTGACAGTTCTGCCCTTCCCTTTGTGATATAAAGGACCGGCGTGAATTTATGGTATATTTATAGCGTCATCGCGTCATTCACCATGAATTTTATTGGTGCGTAACCTCATTAGTTGAACGAACTATAATTGACACACCGGCTGACCTGTCAATTAAATACGCTTCTGAGTATCATTCATTCTTTCTCTGAACATGAGTTTTTATAATTCCAGAAATCATAGCGAGATATATTTCATGATTACATACTGTTGCGATTTTGGCTTTTATCAAAGTGTCTCTAACGACGCACCTATTACATAACACTTACAAGTTCACTTACAATTGCAAAATCAAATAAATCGAAGGAAACAGGATTTGGCTTGACTTGGGTGTCCAACTATCCAATCCAACCGTAATGCTGTTGAGGCAGAGGGTTTAAATCAACATAAAAACTGTACGCTATGTGGTGGCTTTATTAAATTCATGCGTCACTTAGTTTCTAACAAGAGTCTTCAATAGCAAAATTATTATTTCACATATATATTATTTTGGTCTATTAGAACCACTACATATTATGTAATGTTACAAAGATACCACTAATTAATTCCATCCGATATGTTTCTCTGTTCACATGATATGTCGCATAATAAAATCGACACTAAATAGGTAGATTTCAAATTTGAAAACCTCTATTGTTAGAAGAACTTCGAGACTATTGAAATAGTGATTTCATGCAAATAATTTACATATTAAAAACGATATTCTATTCACACCATTACACATAAAATGACATACAGGTTGTTTGAAAACGAACGAACACCCATCATTAATTAATTTTTATCATTCATCCGTTACGTTCAAAGTGGTGATAATTTTCTGTAAAAATATGGTTAGGCATGCCGAAGACATGTGAAAAAAAAATTGGATTCCTCTCAATCCTTTGATGGCGATGGATGCACTGAAGGGTTTCTTGAAATGTACGTGACTCGAATGTTCCCTGATTCCACAACGTGATTCCCTTTGTGGATTATGTATATTATAGTCAGCACAAGAATATTTGTTTATGGAGATACAAAAGCCATAGATTTCCGACTTCCTACACAGTTACATTGCTAAATTAAAATATCGCGATTAAGTTATGGACGTCACATTTAATGCCATTTCATACAATTACTTATTGACCCCTAGATAAAAACACGCAGTTTTATCACTTATGACATCAATACAAAACAAATCAATGATGTGCAAAAACATCTCAAGGCGTATTCAATCACTAGATGTTTCAGACGTTCGTTAAATAAATTTGGTCTCAAGGCCGTTTCTAATATTCTTACGTCAAATGATTAAATTGACAACCATAAGTAGGTTAGTATGTAAACAGGCAAAAAAATTACCATAATTCTCCTTATCAACGCAAAACTTAATACTGAACTTAGATTAAAGTTTCTTTTGAAGACAAAGTTAACTAACCTGAGCAAACTAAGGCGAAGAACAAAACTGCTGGAATACACCACCGCATGTTGACTTTTCTCAACAAAACTTACACAATACACGACATAGATAACTTGAGGAACGTACAATGTACTCAACTTCTACTATTCCTTTGATGTAGGTACAGATGAAACTTTTACGCGGAGAAGTCAACTGGGGGACTGGATACGGCAGTCTGCAACGGTACCGAGCGATGAACTACCGAGTACCGCGGTCATCCGGCAGGAACGAACTCGCAACCTTTTGACACGCATGCGCGAACTAATGACCTCCCCCTCTATTAAAATGATAATAAAACTGCAATGGTATTGTTTTTTTTTGCAATACACTATCTATTCACATGGATGTTGGTCTCAGCTAAATATTTTTGGAAATAAAAAATCTATGAATAATCTCTGAAAAGTTTTAAAAAGTCTTAAAAGTTTGGGCAATTATATTATAATTCCTATCGATAATAATTGCTATCAACAGAAATTAATAGAAACGTTTTTTATGTATTTTTTTTTCTTCATGACATCTTAAGTTCAAAACTTAATAAAAAAGCAACTTTAATAATGTTCCCATAGGCGCTTGTGAAACAAGTAAACAAGTGAATTTATTTCTGCAAATAGGCTACAAGGCAGCACTTTTACACGTCAATTTTATCAAGCGAACGATGAGGTCTTGGGATATAACAACCCTAAAGTAATTAATATAATATATATATATATAAGTTTTTTTTATTTTATTTTTTTAACGTTGCCCCACACTAGGATTTTCTCCTGTGTCGTGGGTGTGTTTACAAATATACAAATTCACATACGCATGACACCCAGACCCGGAACAACAATGTGTGAATCACACAAAGAGTTGTTCCGTGCGGGAATCGAACCCGCGACACATTGCCAGCCAGTTGCCAACTTTGCAGTCAAAATTGACTGCACTAGTGGCGCAGTGGCTGGGTACCCAACTGTTGCATAACCAGTAGTGGTTTCGATTCCTACTTGCAACAATTATTTCTATGATCGACAAATTGTTTATCCAGGTATGATTGAACCGCTACGGTATATGTATATATTTGTAAAAGGACCTACGGGACAGAGGATCAGTTTAAAAGAAAACTCTATCATTTGAACTATTCGGTACCGCAAGAAAGATACTATATATTTATCAAAACAAAAGTACCTACTTACAAAATTACCGTCGAGTAAAGAGCATATGCTACAGTACCTACATGAAACTTTAACTAAAGTTGGTCTGCAGTACAATGCCGGCTTCTTTGAAATCTGTTCGTAATATGAACCTTCCCTGTCTTGTAACTTTCAACAATTTAAAGACTATTACATTGAAATATTAAACTTAGGTAGCCTTCAGGTTTGGATATAATTATATTTCAAAGAGGTTTTATTAAGGTGTTATTAATAATTATGAGACTAATTTTGGGTTTGTTGAGCGTGATTGAGCAAAATGTCTATGTTTAATTTTACACGTCAGCAAGTCCAAAGTAAATAGCCCTAGCGATTATTTTTTTTTTTTTAATTATTATTTGGGATACCCGGTAAACGAGCAGACTTATCACCTGATGGTAAGCAATCGGCGGCGCTCATGGACACCTGGAACCCCAAAGGTTATAAGTTCGTTACTTTTGGGGATTAGGATTTTGAGGATTGTTGGAGATTCGGGAATTAGGGGGACTGGGGAAGGGAAGGGGGGGAGAGTAGTTGGGGTGTCAGGTAACCACACTCATACAACGAAACACAATGAATTGCTGTTTTACTTCGGTTTTCTATTAATGTGAGGTGAGGTTACTCACTAATTCTTTTTTGGCAACACCTTTCAAATTGAGGATGTATGTATCTACCTATGGTTTGCCTTTAACAAAATACTACTGTACGATATAATTATTCTTGATAGTGAAACGAATAAGGAAAACTGTTATTTGTAAAAGAAAATAGGAATAAAGTAATAAATAATTATATTTTTTATTATCAATTTCTTATCTAAAGAGTTTTATATTTTTTTTTCCTTTTCTTATTATGCGGAAAGACCTGTATGATAATATTTACACTTTTATTTATAGAGTAGATAAAAAGAACAAAACTGCGTTCTTCCTTAAAACAGCTGACGACAAAACAATTCAACGTTATCAGATAACAGTGCTACTTGTATTTTAAATTATCGGCCAATGAAGACATTTGATTTAACACACGTAATATTTATCTCTGATTAATAAGACTGAGAAATTAATGAGGAAAATAACGTAATTTGAACTCTTTAGATTCGTAGAATATTAACAATAAGCTAGGATTAAAACAATGATAAGAAACGAACCTAACTGGAGGATATTCGGAAAATTAATTAATTAATTTCCTGTAGTTAAGGAAACTGTTCCACGTAAAGATAAGTACAACAAAATTTACGTCATTCAGTCATTAATGACTCGGTAGGTATTTTAATTTTGCATCGCCGTTTTTCTACATGTCCAAAACATATTCAAGTGTGGGAGAGCCATGCTTCGGCACGAATGGGTCGGCTCGATCGGAGTGATACCACAGCCTCAGAGAAAATCATCGTGAAACAACACTTGCGTTATATTTCGTCGTATGAGTGTAGTTACCGGAGGCCCAGTTACCACCCAGTGCAATCTCCGCAATCCTCAAATACCTAATCCCCAAGAAACCGACAATGCACTTGTAACACGTTCAGTGTTTTGGGTGTCCATGGCGGCGCCGATATTTTGGAATTCAAATAGATTGAAATAAGCCGGCAAAAAATATATACGACCTATCACTTTCTATCTATTATCACTACCGAGTATACAAATCATGATGAAATGAAACCCAGTTTCGAATTCATATCTTTTATTACGACTGCACTTCATATAATTGTGATGATTATTATATGATTATGACTTGTGGTGGTTGGGCAACTGCCTGCGAATTGAGTGGCGGGTTTAATTCCCGCACAGGGCAACTTCTTGTTTCGGGTCTGGGTATCATTTGTATGTGAAGTTATGTGTTTGTACACGCACTAACGACACAACAGAAAATTCTAGTGTTGGGGCAACGTTTTTTTAAAATTCGAAATGTTCTAATATAAATTAAATTAATAATATACTGGTGATTTCCTACGATTACATAACATCACGCCTTTTACCGCCGCCTCGAAGGGGTATTCAGAGGTGCACATTATGCCACCGTACAATGTAACACCCACTTTCACTATTTATGTTATGTGTCCGATGTAATAGGGGGTGAGCCTATTGTCGTTTATCGGGCATAATTCCAGACTCCGTGCTGCTGAGATTTTTTAAAAACCCAGTAATACTTTGCCCGACCCGGGAATAGAATCCGAGATCCCTTGTCCGGCAGTCGCATTTGCGACCACTCGGTCAACGAGGTAGTCAATATGATTACTTAATTACATATAAAATATTATAAGAATAGACAAGTATAGGTGTACCCTCCATAACCTCAAAATTATTATCCGATTTAACTTTATACGAGAGAAGGAAGATATAATGCCAACGGTCACCAGACTCATTAGTCACCATTTATAATAATAAACAGGAAGTTTCAATACTATTAGGTAAAGATTTAAATAGAACCTATGTATTCCATGATAGAGTAAATTCGCCTATTCGCGTCCACACACAGTATGTGTCAATTTTTCTGATCACCATGAGTATAAGATTCTGAAAACTTGTAAGAGCAAACAAATATGGCCTAACTACTAGTAATTTAGTGGTATTTTTTTATCATCGGGAATTTTTGAAGTTGCATTCATAACGACGCGAACAGGTTAACTTACCCTACATTTATAAGCCCAGCACTACAGCTACGGATCATTTATAATATTATGTATGTCTTTACCATTCACGGGATCACGCAGGGTCCCGGTTATTTGGGAGGCATACGCGGAGCCGAAGCCAACTGCACAGAGGCCCTTTAGACATCTTTAATCTAAATGTAATGGACAAACATAATAAATGTAATATTATTATCACTAATTTGTTAATATGACATAAGTCAGTATAATAAATAAAATAAAATCTTATTATTAAAGACACTGAATATAAAAGTTAAGAAACTTTCATAACCCGTTAATTTTACAAAGAAACCAGAATATTGAACACGTCATTCTGTGACCACAAATAGAAACTACGTCTTGTCACCATGATGAATACAATAAAAATGAATTCCTTTTTGTTGAACTCCAGAAAATTCCAATATAAAAGAAAAGATTAATTACTCTGATCAGATTATTTACACCAACACAATCAACCGGATTTCCAATTAAATCGAATTTTATTTATAAATTTATAAGATAAGAAACTTATAATAAGAAAAATAACTTGGTCTTACTTTAGATATAGTTAATTACGTTCATCTGAAATAAAACCTGTTTCATTTTGTGTAACATTTATTGCTTTGTAAAATATTTCCACAGGAAACTAATTAAATATTATATATTGTATTATTATGCTCATGGTAACAACCTTACCATAGGTATAGGTGCCATGGAGGGAACACAATTAGATCTCAGATTGTTTCTACCTACTAACAAAAAAAAGTATGAATATTTTTAAGGACTATTTAATTGTTCAAAACATCTCGAATCATATTTTATTGCGTTTGTACTCTATCTTATCATACCTTTTGCACATATTTTGATGCTAATAATTTGCCAAAGTAAGAATTAGTACAGTTGATTTTTTAATGAACTTGTACACTATACAATATCAGTAATTCTTCTTTATACAATGGAGACTACCGTATTTTTGGTAACTAGATGGCGCAAATGAAGCACGAAGTTTTTTTGTCCTATCCTTGTACCTGCCAAATATATATTAAACATGTAATGATGTGCACTAACTAATTCCCTGTTGGATGAAAATCAAAAGGTCTATAACACCATATGGTGAGCGCAAATACAATAGCCCCTAATTATATTAGAATTTCAGCTAGCGAAATTGCTACTTTATTAACAGAGGTAGAGCCCAACAGACGTAAAAACTGGCTTAGCACATAATATTATACAGTTTATGCACTTATTTATCCTTATTCGTTAAGTTAAACTGAACAGTCTCCAAGCAATGCCAGTATGCCACTGCCTGCCAAGTAATTTTGGGTCAGCAAGTGAGTGGCCCTCATAACTTATACCACTTGGAAGAGACACACCAAGAGACTGCCAAGTTTCTTGCTGTATGCGTCAATCCTGAGGAA